CTGAAGTCAAAGTAAAAATAACAATATTAATATATTTGTAGTGAATACTTGAAATAATAAAGATGGCTTGATTGTCAATATACACAGACACTTGAAAATATATTCATACTGTATTTTTGGCATGAAAAGTAATTGTCAGTGAAATTATATTTTTAAGATTTCTCCAAAGCAATTAAATCACATAGGGTAAAGTTTATTAGCACTGAAAGATCACTTAATGCTTACTACAAGAAAAACTTTATATTTAGGGATGCTCTGAAATTCTGGATATGACTATTTTTCATTTTTCATTTGGTTTTTGTTGTTTTTTATTCCCCCTTTTGCTCTAGGGAAACAGGCAGGCCAGTGCAAAACGGATATAACACATAAATATTGGCCACTGATATTTGCAAATGCGATTTTGTTTAGCAATATCCCAGTACCAGTTAATAAGGCTAACATAGGCTAATACCAATGTTCAGCAAATGTCTCAGTGCTTCCCATAGTGCATCCTTGTTTATACTCACAGCCTGACTGTATGCAGTTGCACTATGAAGCTCCCACCTGGCATTTTTCAGTACCTGGAAATAACTATTAATGGCTAAAGATTAGATAGTAAAGTCAAGATACCTAAGGTTCAAAGAAGCACAAACTGTGGATACACATTGTAATAGAAAACTGAAGGGTTTAATTTCTGGTCCGATCTTTACCCCACAGCTCTATAATATATCTGTTTCCAGTCTTAAATAATAAGGATTAAAGATGGTTTGTTAACTACCATGCTCGTGTGCTCTATTGGGGATGAAATAAAGGACTATGAGTAAAAAATTCTCCTCTTATCTATTATTAATCAACAAAACAAATCTTAATTTGTTTTTAACTACTGTTGAGTTATCAACACTGCATGTCTACCAGTAGACATTTTTTGGTACACTTGTTTTGTAGATTGGGGTCAAGTTTGAATTCTGATGCACTTTACTATGTGACTTAACTGAGACTTAATGAAAAGGTTTAAAAGCTGGAGAATTGGGCTTTCAAATGAAGAACCATCAAATTAAAACAAGAGACAACAAAACACCAACAACAGCAGACTGGTAGCATTGTTATGGTGATTTCACTTCACCATTACGTTAAAAAAAAAAAATGACCGCAAATAACACATGCATGATTACCAAACTTCCTCCATGTAAACAAGTGTTACAAAAACACATTTGCTCTTCCTGTCTCCTAAATATGCAGCACTACAAAATAATCCTCCCTTCCACTGCAAGCAAACTCGCTAAATTAACCAGCAAAAGGTCATTATCTTCCATTAAAGATCTTCACTGAATTCAGCACACACTGTCTGTGACTCCCTGTGTCTCACTAAATCATGGTCTCCCAGTACAGCTGACTGAGCACGGCACACTCTTAGACATGCATGTCCATTGTAGTGAACACATTCCTTCTGTCTCGCACTCTGGAAATAGGGTACTGAGCAATTAAAGCGGCTGATTTAATCTTTTCCTCTGCTTCTCCAGTTACACACAAGACAAAATGCTGCAACTGTTAGGCAATTTGAGCGCACACTGTATCATTTCAGAACAACAAAGCTGTCCTTCAAATTTAAGGTCAGAGATTCAGGTTGCATAACACCCTTGTCAAGCTTACCCTGCCAAGGCCCAGTTTGATTTTGGTGTTTATTAATAGCCTAACAGAGGAATCCTAGGAATCCCTTTGCTTTATTGGAGGGAAATTATGCTTCCTTTAAAAAAAATAAATTAATTAAAAACTTTTAAAAAAAAACCCAGATCTGTTAAACTTTGTGCTTGGTTGGTTTCCTGAGCAATTGTTGTTAAAGACCCAACATCTAATACAAGCCCCGGACAAGCAAGAATATTCTTTTATTGTGCAACTGCCAGCACAAGCATGATTACTTATTTTATGATAACATAGCCACATTTAGTACAGCTCTGCCTTGATCTCCAACAGGAAGACAGGGAGGTGCAATGACAACTGATATTGACATATTTTTATATTGACATATGAGCTTGGAGAACTGTGTGGTTGTTCTGGACTAAGACATCTCCACAGACAAAATGGTACAGCTGGATGCAAAGTAGCCATAAGTTTCACTGTGTTAAATGAAACACACAGGGAAAAAAGTGACAACTAGACAGACTGCATTTTTAGGGCAGGGCAATAATCGGGGTGCAGCATAGTCATGTTGGAGCCTGAACAGGAGCCCTGTATCATTATAACCTAGTTGTCCACTGTACAACTTCACTAAGCAGTCTTCTTCACTTCTTCACAGAAACCCTCTTTCGAACAATAGAAATAAAATTGAATTGAATTGAACACTAACATTAAAATCTCTGTTTATTTGTGAATCCTGCCTAGATTTACTGTAAATTCTTAGTGAACTCACACTATACTGTCCTTCAGTAGATTACCCTTTTAGGGATGAGGCTTAGTAGTATAAAGTTAACCAGGCTGCTCAGGAGATTAATATGTCATTGCATGCACTGTTAGAAGCAACAGCTGTAGCTAAGGTTACAGGTGATCTTAACTATTGTGTAATATGCAGAATGAAACTATAGGCTAACATTAGCGTGTTGGACTTGACATCACTGCAGCTGGCTCTGCCTTTTTTGACTGAGGAGAAGTTAGCTGTGACAGCAAAAACAGTCACACACAGGCAACAGCAGGAAAACCCAGCAAAATAAGTTAAGGCGTTGACAATGGCATTAACTTAGTGAAATCTTCATCGATGCTCTGTTTTTAACCTGGTTACACGCTGACAACTAGCTTAAGCTAATGTTATTTCCCTGGTTGAGTTCGGTTTATAACAAACGCTAGCCGCTAGCTCGCCGTAATAATATGGTCAGATAACGTTAGTTTGTGTGAGTTCGCGGTAACGTTATAAGTAGTAATGACAGTCGGATGTTAGCTTTCCTCTGCCATGTTTGAACTTGTGTAACGTTGATGTTAGTGCTTACTACAAACGATCACTGACAGTGACAGTTGCCTCCCCTAAGCTAGCCCAGCTAACATTTTTCTCGCTCCGACACGTGTCTCCAAAACATAAATATCGAATGAAATTCACAGCATTGAGTTTTACCGGCTCCCAGCTAACTTACCATTTTTCAGCTCGTGTTTCACAGTAAACAGGTCACCTTCTCTGGAAGATCCCTCCATCGGGGATGGCATCGTAATTTCGTGTCCCTATTATATTCAAATATGCTTTCAGACAGATTTAGATTCACCTGCCAAGCTAGATTGCAAAATTAGCATGCAGAAACCATATAATGCATAACAAAGGGATCAAACGCCGATAAATTCGGCGCCTAACCTGACAGATACACGAGTAAAAGGTTGTTACTAAACCTTGCAGCTAACAAGCCCAGAGGAAACACTTGCTTCTTCCAGTACACCACCACGACCACTACCTTCGCAACCAGCCAGTCCCTATTCGCTGATTGGGGTTACTATGTGAAAAGCTGGCCTCTGATTGGATTCTTTCGTCGTAACGACACATAATCCCGCCTTCTCCAATATATTGGTGCTGCCTTCAAATGTCCGTGTTAACACGCTGTGCCAAAGGTCAGAATGTAAGTATAATAAATACTTCTTATCAGTTTAGACAGCATATACATATGAATACAAACTACACGCATGTCCTAATGTAATAAATTAATGCAGGCCTACAGTGTTAGGTGCAGATCTCACTTTAGATTTTCCACTTCAGTTTTCTGATGAAACCTCTTCAGTCCTATCCTACTTACTGTCAATAAGATAATAAAGTTAGAATGAAGAAAAATGTATCAGATTTAACATATAACCATAATACGGAATATGGTGCATTTAAGAGGTTCAAGAGATAATCCAACAATACAGAGCTGGTATGACTTTTGCCTAAGGATAGTAATATTTTATTGTTTCACTATTATGCACATGTCTAAAAGGAATTATAGTTACTTTTCTTTTAGATTTTCTTTTATCCCCTCATCTGGTCTTGCCACAAACAGCATATCATGAAAGTGATCAGTTCCTGTTAGTTGAGGTAGAGCAGTTCCTCAGAAATACAAACCACCTTATCCAAAACGATCGCACTTCTGAAAGGAAATCTCTCAAAAACGGATTCAACACAAATGTGAACATTATAACATTAATAAATATTGAATTAACTGCAAAACTGTTAGGCTAGTATGTTAACTTCAAGTGGATGGTTGTAACGTAAACTGTCAATCTAATGCAATTCAGTTAACTGCCCACGGGGTGTCGCCCTTGTGCTGTTACTGTGGAGAACAAACACGTAGACAGTAATTGTAAATATTTTTTCCTTTTTTTTTGTTCAATAAATTGTATTTGTAATATCTCCTGTGTGAATATTTCTTAATGTAAAAAGCAAATTTTCTTAGAGCAAATCTGCACTGATCATTCATGCAGTCTACCACAAAATTGTTGGCTACCTGAAGAAATGTGCTTCCTTTATCTATGCAGAAGACTGTAGCTTTAGGCAAATAAATTTTAAAAAAAGACGCAGTTCTTCCTGCGTGCCTTTATTAAAAGGCGCCACTTCTCTGAAATCTGTAGCTAAAGGACATTTTAGTCATAAATACATATACATGGGTAAATATCTCTGCTATTTAAAGAACTCAGTGCAAATATTCTGGTTATGTTTGTATTCACTGATTTCTGCCTCTACCTTGTGGTAGCATGCTGCGATTGCATCATGAATACGGTGTGATTGTTAACTTTAAAATTGAACATTTTCGCTATACACAAAATAGTAATAACAATAGTAGTAATTGCTTGAATTTTTTATTTTAAAAAATGTATAAGGACAGTGTGGATGAAACCCAGCCGGTTCATTTTTAACAGTTTGGTTAAGAGGCGTTTTGTAGTCTTTGGGCGTCCAATTACGTGCGAGTTCCTGAGATTTGACCAATGCTGTGGGGGTTTGTTGAAAGACAGCCAATAAGTACCTTGTCCGATTGACCGCTTTCAGGAAGTAGTACAAGTCTTGTTCTTCTCTTCTAAAGCACCTCCTAGTTAGCTAGCTTCCCTTCACGCCACCGCAGACTGACCTACGCTCCCAAGATGGCCGGTGTACGAGCTGTTGGTGTTCTCTCCAGACTCACATTAAGGAGATATAACGTTTTTACAGGTAGACTATACACTTGTTTCATGCAGACATTTTAAGCAAAGTCGGAAGAGAGAATGGCAGCGAGAGTCCAAATGTATTTAAGTGTCGTAAATGTATTAAATGTATAATTAGCTTGCGACTAGCTCTTATCGCCAATGAATGCCCTGCATAAACGTGTGGTAGTGCAGGTTAAATAACGCTAATTTTGAGTCAGTAAACGTATATCTCAATTAAAGTTTAACCAGAATTTCAAAGTGCGCGACACTCCTAAACTTTTATCTGTGCAGCGAGAACACTTTTAAGCGCTAGCTAGCCTACTGCTACGGAATCCCATAAGTTAAAGTGGGAGTGGATCAAAGCTGTAAATCGATTTGCTTCACTTTTAAGCCTTACATTGTATTGATTAAGACAGTTCAGACTGAGATTTAAAGGCTTGTGTACAGTATTCTCAATTGTGATGACCGCGGTTTCTGTCCTACTGGTGAGGGGAGAATGTAGGTGAAAGGTCGCTGTGCACTGAGGTCACGGAAATGTTGTGTGAACGTCTCATATACATCAGATGTATTTAATGCACGAGGACATTCGGTTTAAGTTCCTTTTAAATATGACATTGACTCTTAAATCTGTACGCAAAAGATATTGTTTAAAATATTTCAAAATGTTTTAAAAACTGGTTATTCCATCTCGGATCATGACATTTTTTTCTGTTAGATCATTTCTTATTTGTCTTTTATGCCCCAAGATTTGAACATACATAATGCTTGTTGTGAAAGTTTAGCTTCACGCACGTATGTGTATATGTAGAAAGAGAGATTTTTGTTATAGAAGGCCTGCCCATCCAGTTTCAGGCTTTTTTTCCCGCACATTGAAATCTGACGCCATTGAACATTAATATCTCAAAAACTATTAAAGGTAAAACCCTGAAATTCTTTCTTACTATAACATTGAAACAGAAGCTGTAACATGGGACAGATATATCTGCATTTTTAGTTCAAATATGAAAAAATAAATTTAAGCAGTCTTAGAAAGTGTTACATTTGAGCTCACACTAATATAAACCTTTATATAAAAAAGACAACGTGACTGTTTCTAAATAATATATACTTGTATTTCACGATTATGCAAAACAAAACTCCTATAATACTGTTGAACGTGAAATGAATAATCAACTTACTTAACTTTGGTGCAGGATTGAGCTAATATGACAAGTTATACAATAAAAAAGAAATATCTGTAGCTATTCCGGAAAAACAAAACTTGTGATTTTTCCAGATTTTACTCTAATTATAACTAAGAAAATGATTTTGTGAAATACATGCATATTTCATATCCTTTTCAATACATCCTATACCAACCATTTTGACATCTGCTACCCTGAAGGATTGTGTTAATTCAGGTTAAGTTTAACATATACCAAGAGATTTCAAGGGCTCAGAAAGTATAATGTAAATATTTTTCTACATAAAAAAATAAATGTATATTCGAGTAATTAACAGTAATAAAAGGGGGATTAGTAGCTTCTTTCGGGTAAGTAGTATTCCAAGGCCAAGACCCCTGGCTCTGATTGAACTTTATGGTAATATTTATATTCATGTACAAATACTACCTGAGAATTAACTTTGTGGGGAAAAAATGTTGGAAAAGGATTGGACCATTTTTCAAAAAAGTGCGTCTTAAATGGATTTCCTATATAAAGCTAAAATTGAACAGCAATTAGTGTATTTATCCTAACTTTAGATCATAAAATTTTCAGGCAGATGGGACATGGATCAGCAGAAGTCATACAGAGATTTGTGATGGAAAAACCCAATAGTAAACTAACTTGGCACATAAACTAATAATGCACTGTCTTTTCCCTTGGTTTTTACAGGCCCATCTTATCGCTCCTTCTCAGTATCTCCTGCCATGCTAGGTAATTTCAGAACAATCATACTGTCAATCATCTGTATAAAAATATGTCAGACACTCGCTGAACCTAATTACACTCTCTTCTTTCTGTATTTGCAGCCCGAACACATGTGAACTATGAAGTCAAGGGAGACGTCGCTGTTGTACGGATTAATGACCCAAACTCAAAGGTGTGAGCTCAGTAACAGACAGTTAGTTTATTTTACAGTCTTGCATCGTGCAGGTTAAATGTAACTATAATTATGTTTCCCTCTAGGTCAACACACTGTCTATTCAAATGCAAAAAGAGATGACAGAGGTCATGAATGAAGTGTGGGAAAACAATGCCATTAACAGTGCTGTTCTTATCTCATCAAAGCCGGGATGTTTCATTGCAGGAGCTGATATCAAGTAAGCACAAACTCCTTAAGGGTGGTAGTGCAGACACAAAGCGTGACCCTAAAATGAGTGACGTCTCTGAATAATGAGTCCAAGTGGCTTGTCATTTTATTTAAAATATTCTACATCTGATTCAGTATGATCCAGGGCTGCAAAACCCCAGAAGAGGTTACCAAACTTTCTCAGGAAGGACAGAAAATGTTTGAGCAGATTGAAAAATCTCCAAAGCCCATTGTCGCTGCCATCAATGGTTCTTGCTTAGGAGGCGGCTTAGAGGTAAATAAGTGTTATTTTTAGCAGCTTGCTGTGTTTAACAGGGATCGATGATGATAATGTGTTCTCTAACCTGCTCTTTGTGTTGCATTTCAGTTTGCTATTGCCTGCCAGTACAGAGTTGCAACAAAGAGCAACAAAACAGTTCTCGGGACTCCAGAGGTGATGCTGGGTCTTCTACCTGGAGCTGGTGGTACGCAAAGACTCCCCAAAATGGTTAGTACTGGAATTTATTCCCCAAATTGTCTTTGATTTTGTTGAACTTTATTCACTTAAAAAAGTGGCATTCAGGGAGATACTTGTGAAATGGTAGCAATGATGTTCTATATTGGCAAAGCTCTAATACAGAGCAGTCAGGTAATGCTCGTAATTGGTTTAAGCTGTTGGAGACTTTGCAGACTGATTATCACTCCAGTTCATCATGTGCTGTTTTCTAGTGTGGACCACATTATAACCTCTATAAAAATTAAAAAAATATATTAGTGTATTTTTCTTTCTCCACACATTAAATAGTGATGATTATTCAGTGCATTATTGATCTGCTTTCTTTACCTGTAGGTTGGCCTCCCCTCTGCTTTTGACATGATGCTGACAGGACGAAATATCCGAGCAGATAAAGCCAAAAAGATGAGGCTTGTTGACCAACTTGTAGATCCTCTAGGTAAAACTCTAATGCTACCCAAGTAAAATTAAAAAATGGTGAACATGTGGGTAATTTGAAGTATTATAATTTGCTGTAATCTGTGCAGTTTGGTAAGTACCGTATTTTTACAACCATAAGGCGCACTTAAAAGTCTTAGATTTTCTTCAAAAAGTACGCCGCGCCCTATAGCGCAGTGCGCCCTGTGTGTTGTAAGGAGGACGTAGTAGAGAACACCATGAGAAGGCTAAAGGGTGAAGTGTGGGCATTGATCGTATATACCGGACAATCGCACATACCTGTATAAAAGGACAGGTATGTGCATTATGTGGAACATCGTTGTTTTAACAACCCTGAAAATGGCAAAGAGACACGCTTATGAAGCACAGTTTAAACTGAAGGCCATCAGCTATGCGGAGGAACATGGAAATCGAGCAGCGGCGAGAGAATTTAAGATTAACGAATCGATGGTTTGCAAATGGAAGAAGCTAGAAAACAAGCTCCGGCAGGTCAAGAAAACGCAGCAGAGTTTCCGCGGACATAAGGCGAGGTGGCCCGAGTTGGAGGAAAGACTCGAGCGGTGGATCATCGAGCAAAGAACGAGCGGTAGAAGCGTTTCGACGGTCACCATTCGGCTAAAAGCAGTTTCACTAGCTGAAGAGATGAACATTGAACATTTCCAAGGAGGTCCGTCTTGGTGCTTTCGTTTCATGAAACGGTGCCATTTTTCCATCCGGACCAGGACTACGGTAGCGCAGCAACTTCCAGCGGATTATAAGGAAAAGCTGGCCATCTTCCGCTCCTACTGCAGCAAACACATCGGCGACAAAAACATCCAGCCCAGCCACATCACAAACATGGACGAGGTCCCGCTCACTTTTGACATCCCGGTGAGTCACACTGTGGAGAAGAAGGGGACCAGCACGGTAGCAATACGCACAACGGGGTATGAAAAGTCTTCTTTTACTGTTGTGCTTGGCTGCCATGCTAATGGACAGAAACTGGTGATTTTTAAGCGAAAGACTTTGCCTAAAGAGAAGTTTCCAGCAGGAATCATCATTAAGGCAAATGAAAAGGGCTGGATGGATGAGGAAATGATGAAAGACTGGCTGAGGGAGGTGTATGTAAGGAGACCAGGTGGTTTTTTCCACGCATCACCATCGCTGTTGATCTGTGACTCTATGCGTGCCCATCTCACAGCCGATGTGAAAAAACTAGTGAAACAAATGAACTGTGAGCTTGCTGTCATTCCGGGAGGCCTGACAAAGGAACTCCAACCGCTGGACATCGGTGTGAACCGCCCGTTCAAAGTAAGGCTGCGAGCGGCGTGGGAGCGATGGATGACCGGTGGAGACCACAGTTTCACTAAGAGTGGAAGGCAGCGCCGGGCGAGTTACGCCACAATTTGCCAATGGATTGTAGATGCTTAGGCTAACATGTCTGCTGGCACTGTTGTTCGAGCTTTCGCAAAAGCCGGCATCATTTCCGAGGAGCCGCACGGCACGGAAAGTGACTCTGACAGTGAAGAAAGTGAACTTGGCATGTTTGATGGAGATTTAGCGCAGCTGTTCAATTCAGATACAGAGGATGAGGACTTCGATGGGTTTGATTGATGATAAAAATGTGAGTACCAAACTTTGTTTTGCTCCTGCTTTATTTTTAAATACGCACACTTGTATGCTTGTGTGTTGTTGATGATGACGATTACTGGTAATAAAAATGTGAGTACCAAACTCAGTTTTGCTCCTGCTTTATTTTTAAATATGCACTCTTGTATGCTTGTGTGTTGTTGATGATGACAATTACTGGTAATAAAAATGTGAGTAAGGTACCGAACTCAGGTTTGCTCCCGCTTTATTTTTAAATACGCATACGGTACTTGTATGCGCCCTATAATCCAGTGCGCCTTATGTGTGTGTTAAATACAGTAATGGCACACATAACTGAGACTGCGCCTTTTAGTACAGTGCGTCTTATGGTCGTGAAAATACGGTATTTGAGTGTACGTTGTTCAGTCTGAGGATGAGATTATTTCTGTTTGTATTAAAGGACCAGGACTGAAGAGTCCAGAGGAAAGAACAATAGAATACCTTGAGGAAGTTGCCATTGAGTGTGCCAAAGGGATTGCCAACAAAAAGATTTCTCTTCGCAAAGAAAAGGGTACAATGCAGAGTAAGTTGTATTGGATTTGTTTATCATTTGATTCTGTAGTCACTCTTGCTTGTTTTATCGTAATAACATTTCTGTTCTTATCTCCATAGAGATTCAAGACTATGTTATGAGCTTCCCCTTTGTCCGGAATCAGATTTACAAAACGGTCCAAGGCAAAGTTATGAAGCAAAGCAAAGGACTTTATCCAGCACCCCTGAAAATCATCGAAGTAAGTAAAAGCGCCTTCTAATGAATATGTTTTAGGAAATACAGTGAAAGATATGAATAGTACAGAGAAGTCAAAGTCATGGCATCGCTTTTGGGTAAACCTTTCTCATGCAATCTGCACCTTTGGCTTCTATGACGAGATTTTTTAAGAAAATAATATAACATTTTTATTATATATTTTTTCCTCCTCTTAGTGTGTGAAAACTGGAGTTGAACAAGGACCTGTTGCTGGATACTTAGCGGAGTCTCAGGTGAGGTTGTTTTCCTAAATTATTGGCACCCTAAATATTTACATTAATAAAATGTGTTTATAAACGGCATCAATATCCATGTTCATCACAGAATTTTGGTCAGTTGGCTAAAACTTCAGAATCGGCAGCCCTGATTGGTCTGTACCATGGTCAGGTTGCATGCAAGAAGAATCGCTTTGGAACCCCTGAAAGAGAAGTGAAGTAAGTGTAATGCAGATGGGAAGGGAGTTAGCATATTTGCATCCAGCAATTTAAAAACAAAACAACTTAAAGAATTTTAACACAACTGGTAATTTGCCAGAAGTCAAAACAGAACTATAAACAAGCCAAAAGCTTTCAAAAAAGTACAACCCACATGAACATTCCCAAGCAAGTCTTCCTCTTTTAATAATTAAAGTTGCTAATGTCCTGCCCTTGATATTTTTTTAATGAGTTTTAGTCCTGCGTGAATTCTTGCTGCTGATTTTATTTTATTTTTTTATTTTTATTTTTTTTAAATAATATGACATATTGACCCTCATGACAGTAAGTTAACATCTAGGTTGTCTTTCTTTACCACTAGCACTCTTGCCATCTTGGGAGCAGGTCTTATGGGAGCAGGTATTGCTCAAGTGAGCGTGGACAAAGGTGTGCATACAATCCTGAAAGACACCACAGTGGAAGGACTGGCAAGAGGCGAACAGCAGGTTTACAAAGGGTGAGCTCATTTCTATATCACCCAGCACCGAACCCACCTCCTGATGGGAAATGCAGTGACACAGCCATGATAAAATAACGGTCAGGTCACCTCTGGTAATGTTATAGCTTTTTTTGCTGACTCGTATGACTTCTTTCTTTTAAAACAAGGCTCAATGATAAGACTAAAAAGAAGAGCATTACATCGTTTGAGAGAGACTCTATACTGTCTAACCTGACTGGCCAGTTGGAGTACAAGGGTTTTGAAAAGGCCGACATGGTTATTGAAGCTGTGTTTGAAGACATAAACATCAAGCATAAAGTTATAAAGGAGGTGGAAGCTGTGAGTATAATATTTTTTTTAAACCATGTGATTTATACTTGGTTTGTAAGCATTTGTAGCACTAACTGTAACTTTGAGCTGTGATCTTGCTTTTGTCCTCAGGTGATCCCCCCTCACTGCATATTTGCCAGCAACACATCTGCTCTGCCCATAAAGGACATCGCAGCTGCCAGCAAAAGACCAGAAAAGGTCTGTACTTGAGTTTAACTTCCTAAGATCCACCTTTCAAATAATGCTATATATAAAAATCCATAAAAATGGTGCTGATGTTGACCTAACCTGAAATCAGAAAGTTTTGATTTGTTTTATTTCTCCATTCTTAGGTGATTGGAATGCACTACTTCTCTCCAGTGGACAAGATGCAGCTCCTTGAGATTATAACCACGGATAAGACATCAAAGGACACCACTGCCTCCGCTGTGGCAGTTGGCCTGAAGCAAGGAAAAGTCATCATAGTTGTTGGGGTGAGATTTGGCGCCATGTGTGTTCTTTCCCCTCTTAGTTTAAACTAAAACTAACAATGGTTTAGCTTAAAATGTAACATGTTTTTGCAGGATGGACCCGGATTCTACACAACAAGATGCCTGGCTCCCATGTTGGCTGAGGCAGTGCGATTACTTCAGGTTAGTGTTGTTCCAGTAACAAATTCCAGCTCGGAGTTCAGTGCTGACTGCTGTAAATGATGTAACAGCATCAATATTTAATAGAGAATATGTTAATTTATCTTTCCGCATTTACAGGAAGGTGTTGACCCCAAGAAACTGGATGCACTCACCACAGGTTTTGGGTTCCCCGTGGGTTTGGCCACACTGGCTGATGAAGTTGGCATTGACGTTGCAGCCCATGTGGCAGAGGACCTTGGGAAAGCTTTTGGCTCCCGCTTTGGTGGTGGAAATGTGGAGGTTTTGAAGACTATGGTGGACCTTGGATTCAAGGGTATGTACTTCACTTCTTACTGAAATATGGTGAGTGACTTAAGGGCTTAAGTTTTAATTTTACTTGATTCTCAATTGTGTTAATGTTTTCTTTATTATTCTCAAGGCCGCAAATCAGGAAAGGGTTGCTACGTCTACCAGCCAGGAACTAAAGTCAGAGATGTGAACCCGGATATTGGAGACATTCTTGAGAAATATAAGTTGACACCAAACCCCTCTGTGTAAGTTGACAGTTATAGAGGTAGTAGTAGTAGTAGTAAAAGGACATTCAGTTCAGACTTTTCTTATTAAAAAAAAAAAAAGGGGGGGGGGGAGAGAGAAAGTGCTATCATTGCAGGTCTAAATCTAAAAGTTCATGCAGTGTTCTACTTGCTTCTTGAGGTTGGGATGTTTAACCACTCGTGTTTCTCACAGTTCATCAGACTCTGAAGTGCAGTACAGACTTGTCTCTCGATTTGTCAACGAAGCTGTGATGTGTTTGCAAGAAGGTATTTTGAACAACCCCTTGGAAGGAGACATCGGAGCAGTGTTTGGTCTTGGATTCCCCCCCTGCCTTGGAGGTCAGATTTGATTGCAAAGACATTTCACAACTGAATACTCATCTTGCAGTTACTCCTGTTTAATGTATGTAATACTAATATTTCTCATACATCTTGCTGCTTCAAGGACCTTTCCGTTTCGTGGACAGCTTTGGTGCTGACAAACTGGTGAACAAGATGAGGCAATACGAGGCCGTCTACGGGAATCACTTTGCACCATGCCAGCTTCTACTGGACCATGCAAAAGATTCCAGCAAGAAATTTCACAAGTGACCGAATCACCATGCTGTGCCAGTAGCTAATAGTAAAAACTCCAGCCTGCCATTTGAATGTGCCTAACATTTATATCGGTATAGGGTGGGGAAACGCACTGAGTCTAAACCTTGACCTAACCTTAAGTAATGCTGTTTAAGTCCTACAGTAAATTCTGCCTTCATGAAATTTGTAATGTTCTGTTTTTTAATGTGTTTTAAAGTGGTGTAGATCTAATTTTGTGATTATTTGACAGGATGCAGTCTGAGGTGTGTTGAATTCTTTCCCACGGTGTGTGTGCACAAAAGCATCCCAAATTATCATAAAACGCAATCAATACCTCTTTAAAACTGTCAGAAAAACTGGAACATTTCCATCTTCATGGAGATCAGACTGCATTGGTTTTTGTTAGGTCTATCGAATAAACTGGCAACGGATGATCTAAAATTGAAGTTGTTTTTTTATCAAAAAAAATTGCATAGGTGTGTTAGGGGCTAATTATTTACACATTGCATATGTAAAAACACTGTAGATGTAAAATAAACGGCTCCAAATGGTAACAATGAAATTCCTCTATAATGAATGTCTACAAGTATGTTTTAGCGAATGCCTTTTAATTCTTTTTTCTACGTGGAAGGTTTTCTGGTTTGGTCTGGACAATGTGATGTGAAATAAAAGCTTGAATGAAATAAACCTGCGTTGTCTTTTGCAAGGTGCGTTCACGTCCTGCTCAGATGGGAAACGAGCCGCGTCTGTGGGCCACAAGGTTTGCTGAAATCTAATTCGTTGCGCAAGTCACATGTCTTATTTCCATTGTCCGCAGAGCAGGGTGTGTACCGGGGACGTGTGGGCTGGGTCTGGATGGATGGATATTCTGTGGGGGGTTTTTTTCCCCTCTTCATCAGCCTCCTCTACAAGCTTGTGACATCGCCTCTTTTCTGAGAGATGCTCGGGGCGGAGGAGACGCTGCGGTCATCGGTGGGTGATGAAAGCGGCTCACATGAGGCGTGTCTGACTTGTTTGCCTTTCTTCACTAAATAAAATGGGAGTTGCTGCACCTGTACGGAGAAGAGAAATTATGTGGACTCAGCGCGAGATAATTGCTTTTTTAACGTGGTGAGGTGATGTTAGCCTTTTTTTTAAGATAAAATGTCCAAAACCAAACATTGTGAGGCGGTCAGGGTAGTGGTCCGCTGCCGGCCGTTCAGCAGGAGAGAAGAGATAGCGGGGTCTGAAAACATTTTAGAGATTGATGACAAACTGGGGCAGATCACCATCAGGAACCCGAAGGCACCACCCGATGAGCCAATGAAAGTATTCACGTTTGATTCTGTTTACGGATGGAATTCAAAGCAAAGCGACATTTATGACGATGCGGTGAGACCTTTGGTGGAGTCCGTCCTCCAAGGCTTCAACGGGACTATATTTGCTTACGGACAAACTGGGACAGGTAAAACCCACACCATGCAAGGGGTTTCAAACGACCCAGAGAGGAGAGGTGTCATACCTAATTCATTTCAGCACATTTTCACACAAATATCCAGAACCCAGAATCAGAAATACCTGGTGAGGTCATCCTATCTCGAGATCTACCAGGAGGAAATCCGAGACCTGCTGTGCAAAGATAACAACAGGAAACTGGAACTTAAAGAAAGCCCAGACTTTGGCGTGTATGTTAAAGACCTGTCTTCAGTGGTGACCAAGAATGCCACAGAGATTGAACATGTGATGAACATAGGCAACCAGTCCAGGTCTGTGGGATTCACCAACATGAATGAACGCAGCTCTAGGTCTCATGCAATTTTTGTCATCACTGTGGAGTGCAGCGAAGTAGGGCCAGACGGTGAGGACCACATCCGAGTTGGGAAGCTGAACATGGTTGACCTGGCTGGCAGCGAGCGCCAGAGCAAGACAGGCGCCAAGGGGAAGCGTCTGAAGGAAGCTGCCAAAATCAACCTGTCCCTTTCTGCGCTGGGGAATGTCATTTCAGCTCTGGTGGATGGGAAGAGCACCCATGTCCCGTACAGAGACTCCAAACTGACCCGCTTGCTCCAGGACTCCCTGGGTGGCAATGCAAAGACTGTCATGATAGCAACAGTGGGGCCTTCGCACAAGAATTTTGATGAATCCCAGGCCACGCTGAGATACGCCAGCAGAGCCAAGAAAATAAAGAACAAACCACGGATTAATGAGGACCCCAAAGATGCCCTGCTGAGGGAGTTTCAGGAGGAGATCGCACGCTTGAAAGCTCAGCTAGAGGAGCGGGGAATGCTCGCGAAAGAGAGAAGAAGGAGGAGGAATAGCAAAAGATTGAGTAAAAGTTTGGCTGGCATGGAGGAGGACGTCCTTAGAGAGAGGGATGCTGATGTGTGGAAGACTGTGGAAGAGGAACCAGATGGGAACTTGAAAGATGCAGGTGACATCCCAATAGTCCTGGCTTGCCAGGGAAGCAGTGAAAAGCTAAAGCACCTGAATGAAAACAGAAGAAGCGTGGAGGACATGCAGTGGGATCAAGATTCTGTGGAGAAGATCATAGAGAAATATAAGGTATTGTAAGTGTGAAACCAGTGAATTAATCAGTAAAATTTCAGATTAACGAGACACTGGTGGAACAAAAGAAATCTGCATAAATAATTAATTGCATCTTTGTTCACAGGCCATGGAGAGCAAACTGTTAGTTGGGGGAAAGACTATAATCGATCACACCAATGAACAACAAAAAATGCTTGAGCAGAAGAGACAAGAAATTGCAGAACAGGTTATTAATTGCGTCTAAAATCAAATCAATAATAAAGAAACTTTTTTGTTGCTTTTATTCAGCTTGGAATGTTTAATTTGCAGATAAGACAAGAGCGAGAGATCCAACAGCAGATGATGCTGCAGGATGAGGAGACCGTGGAAATGAAAGAAACATACTCCTCCCTGCAGCAGGAGATCGAACTTAAGACAAAGAAGCTGAAAAGAGTAAGATGACTCACCCACTAATGCGTCCCAATGGCATTATTGGAAAATCAATTAACTATTAGTCTTATTTACTATAAACAATCCTTTTTACACAGACAATGTCAGTAAAATACTTAGATTAGCCATTGTTATTGTGAGCTTAAATTTGAGGTTTTAATGACTTTTCTTGTGCGGGGGTATTTTACATTTGCATAAACCATCACTGTTTTCATGCAAACATTTTGCTACTCCAGGTTTCGTGATGCAGACCTCTGTTCTGTCCTTTCTGTACAGTTGTGTACCAAACTACAGGTACTGAAGAGAGAGATGAAAGAAATCATTGACGAACACATCACAACAAGACAGGAACTTGAACAGACGCAGAATGAGCTCACCCGAGAGCTCAAGTACAAGTAAGTAGTACATAAAACATACATGATGGAATTTTTCTTTTTAGAAAGAAAGAAGAAAGAAATCCACCCAATTTTGGCTATAATGCATTTTTATTTGATAAACTAATAAACTTTTTCATGAGTTGGGGTCTTTAGCGTTGTTCTTTCTTAGTCATCAGGAATGCAAATTATTCATGCATGCTTGTAACCAAGATAATATTTTTTGTTGTTCATTGGTGCAACTTGTTTTAGACCTCACCTGGAGATATACAATCTAAGCTTTTAAATTTTACGCCATCATTGAGGTGTCTTCCTGTTATACTGTATCACTATAATATCATTAATATATATCAAGTTAAACAGATGTCTCACCTTCATTCAAAACAACAATTATCTAAAGGTACTCTAAGACTATCCTAATGAAACACACATATGGCCAAGTTTTTGTTTCCATTTTACACCATTTTATACAGGAATTTAATTTGTATTATTTTGGCTGATTTCAATTTGCACCCGCTTGTCTTCTGTATTACAGATATCTCTTGATTGAGAATTTTATACCTCCCGAGGAAAAGAACAAAATTATAAATAGGCTGTACTTTGACAGCGAGGAGGACCAGTGGAGACTCCGACCAGTTATTCCATCAGAGAGGTCAGTAAATTAAATATCTGTATCTGTAAATGGTACATTAAAGAAAGAACATTCTCATAAAGAAATTGTGAGCACGCAAGAAATCCATCACTGAAACAGAAAAACACCAGCCGCTGTGTACCTGGAATGTGTAAGGTTTTAAATAAGGGATACACACGTGCTTTTTCTACTGTAGCTATTAGAGTTCTTTTGATCTGCATGCTTTACACTTAAATGCACCTGCACATTTCTTTTCTATGGGCTCTCAATCAACCCCCTGGAAAATATAGGAATTAAGTAACAGAAGCACATAACCATAAAAGTGGATCTGGCCAAAAGATATTTTAGCACTTCATATACTGACTATATTGATAGAATTTGTGTCTAAATTATAACATCTAACAGCATATCTGGTATTTTTCAGCCACAATAATTTTAGCTACCACTGGGAGTCACTAAAGTAAAAAAAAAAAATCCTTCACATGAAAATGGCTCTGGTCTTAAGGATTACAGATAATGATATATTATGAATTCTCATGAATCTGGTGTATTTTTATTTCCTAACCTGGGACATTTGCCATGTTGAGAAATATTGCTACAAGCTAATTAGCTGGCTATCTATGGGGAACATGGGTCTCAAAAAGGTTTACATCTCAGGTGACATCCACCCTAAGTGTATTTAACTGCAGAAATTCATCCTTTCCTATGTTTTTTTTTTTTTTCCAGTACACCCACTCAGGTCAGGAGAAGGCCTCTCTCAGCTTTGGGTTACAAGAGGCCAGTCAGCCAATATGCACAGATGGCTGTTGCCACAGCTACCGGGGCCCCATCTCGATACCAGGTCAGTGTTTGGAAATTCACAAGGCCAGTTGGCAGAAACAGCAGCGAAACAGGGAAGTTGTGATCTAATTTCCATTTTCATGTTCACAACCACCAACCTTTGCTGAAGGATGCGGAGACCATTGTAGCCATGGAAACTATTCACAGATTTAACTTTCGCATCTTTAGCCAGTGAGCCATTATTGTAAGAAAGCATACAGTTTACATTTCAGAAGAATCACTCATCACTCTATGGCTGTTTAATGTTTCATGTTTTATCAGTGTTAAGATACTGTTAATAAGACATTAAAGAGCAGAAGCTTTACAACAGAAGCCTTTACTGGAAAGGGAGAAAACTATTTGCATAAAATGATGGAAGGTTTTTGGTGTGCAACAGTTGCAGACCATTTTTGAATCGCAAAGAATTTGGCTGGGTCCAAACTTTTAACTCTGCATCTAGGCATCACTTCAGCTAATTCATGTCACTGGATTGGATCTATGTCTGTGGCGTTGGTGTTTTATGGAGTCTTTTTAATGCAGTTGTCTGGTAAATATTATAGCTGTCTGATTAAGTGTACTAACAGACTGTTAGAAATATCTGATTACCTGATAGCCATCTTGTTTAAATATAGACAGGTATTTTACAGCAGTGGTCTTTAACACCGGGTTCTCAGTTCAAATACACTCACGGCAGGGAAGACCAGTCAGCACCATGGAAGAGTCTAACACTGATTTCAGGCTGTGCAGCACAACCAAGGAGTAATAACCACCATAGGGATCATATTGATATCCTTATATCCAGCAAAACGAATATTTTTATAAGGATTGCATCAGTGTCAGTGTAACCCAACATTAGACTGAGCTGGGATATCTTGGTCTCTTGTGACTGTTCAGATTAAATCTAATGT